GAATTGGCGACTGCCTAGGTGGTGCAGACTCGTTGTCTATGACCTGTGGGTCCACAGAGAGGTGAGCTTTGTGTAGCACAATCTCGGCATTCTTGGCCATCAAATTTGTGCTTCGTTCTTGTTTGTCTGGCAGAACCTCTTGGTTTTTGAGCTCCCTGGTTTCAATCCGCGTGCTATGACGTTCCTTTTGAGGAATAGCACCGACGTCTTCTCTGTCATTGTTCCTGGTGTCTTCGCCCGGCCTTGGTTTGCCTTGCGGCGTCTCGAGCTTCTGGAAGTCCTTGGAACCGGGACTATGGCTAGGAGCTTGCCTTCTCAGTGACCCAGCACGTATTTCTTTTGCGACTTTGTTCTTCGAGTTTGTATAAGGCTTCCTTTGCTGTGTCAAATCCTGAAAGTATTTGCTGCCATTTGCCCTTGAACGTGTGCTCGGGCTCTGTCTTTGTGGCGTAGACTCGATGTTGTTGGTCTCCTTGGTCCCCAATCGGATTTCTGGGGCCCGCTCGTGTGGCACAGCCTTCGTGTCCTTTGTTGCCGAGTCAGGGACGGCGCCATGCTCGCTCTTAGGTCTCTGGGTGTTCTTGTACTTGGATACCTTGTTCCCCTGAATAATGTTAAGTGCTTTAGCTTGTCATATGACGATATTGTATCCATTGGCAATGTAATAAATTTCCAGCCGGTGAAACGCACACTTAACAGATATGAAATTCAAATCACATCACGTGCACGTCATTACGAAGTCACTTTTGTTGTTCAGAAGTTGTAAGAACCCAACTATCGTGACTATGAGAATACCTATTAGTAACATGACTTAACTATTGCCTAGAAGGCTAAACCATAGCCTCCTATATACTGACAAAGCCTGGCAGATCGCCACGAGAAGCGGCCGCCGAAATTGAAAAGGTAGAGCGGCAGACAACGAATGAGAGGAGAGTCACGTGACGGGCGCCCTGCTGCGGCGAGACGCCGAAGCACATTTCTCCCAATCGATGGAGTGTCCGCTGGTGCTCGTCGCGTTCCTCGCGCTACCGCTTCTTTTCTCGTCGGGTTTGAAACTCATGTTTCGTGTTCTCGCCGCTGCAAAAGATGAGCGCTGACGTCCAGGCTTCCCGAGAAATGCTCTGTGCTACCAGATCCTCGATGGCGCTCCAAATCTTCGACCGGGCACACTATGGCTCCGTCGTCGACCTGCCAGACTTTGTGAGTATAGAGGAGGCTATGGCTAAACATATGAGGGCGCGGGCGCGCGTATCTTGGTTCAGTTCTTGGCATGCGCGCGGTCTTCCTCACTCACTCAATGTTGTGCATTCCGCAGGACAGATATTGCCGTACTTTGTAGCTGTCACACAAGAAGAGGTAAAAAATATGTTTGTTGTTATTAGAATTGAAAAGTCCACACTGTTATGTTTCCTCGCCAATATATGAATTTGGACCTCGTCATGCCACAGTTGAAAAAGGGAGGGGGGGGGGGGGGCGTTCTTTAAACAGGGGTCTCAAACGCGCGACCCGCGACTCGCCGGGACGTGGCCCGCCGGCAACCGGCTACGAGTCCAGGTTTCCATGCCTCGAGCACTAGAATAGGCATGCGCCATAGTGATCTCATCTCCGTGATTCATTTTCGGTCGAAAAATAGCTCCGCTCTCTTAACACATTCACATAGTTGATACTTATCTGTGTTCATTTGCCCTTTCTTTCGCTTTATTTCTTGCCTCCCAGCTTTTTGTAACCTACAACAATTCCGCTACTAGGCTGCAAGCGCGAGATATTGTCGATGGATGCATCCCGGCTGCGCGAACTCTCGATCAGATGGAGAAACTGTCATAGATAAAGCTTCGACCTCGGGATTCTAGCCTTCAATAAAAGGTCATTATTAAAAGACAAGTGTGTATTCAGAGTGTTGTAATAAAAATCTACAGGAAAGCGATAACTGCCAAAATTGTTTTTTAGGGTCATATTGAGCTTGATTAATTCCTGAGTAAGTTGAGAAACGGGAACGACCGTGTACTTGCTCTCTTGTTCAATTGAAAATGGCAGAAAGTTGGTGGGGTGGTGTCAATTTAAATCTTTTCATCAGATCAGGGCCGGTTTGCTCATCTTGCGGCCGCGGCCGCGGCTGCGGTTAAGAGTGATTTTTATGTCACGTGACCAGCTCCATGGGGACAAGCAAGTACCTAGCGTCTGCCTAATGGCGGAGAAATCCGTATCGCTTCAAGCACAAAAGCCTGATTTCGCTCGCAGAAAAAGACTGCAGGGACTTTCAACTGGAGTACAATTGACCGCCCCTTATATTGTAGGAGCGGCAGGTAAAGTTACGGCCAGGGAGGGTAAATATGAGCCAAAATAAAGGAAAAGCACGGGAGATTATAGCGGTGGCAGTATATTTGGCACTGTGGTCATTCCAATTTCGAACACCAGCGCGTGCGGACGTGATATCATGAGCTCTAGCGGAGCGGTTTTTGCGGCCCGGCGGGGCAGTGGTGATAGGGAAGACGCAGCGTCTACTGACTACCGGACTATTCTGCCACCCATGCCGACTGGTTCTGCGGTGTTAAACACCGTATTTTTGCATGCTGACGTTCGTGGCCGCCCGTACCGAGTCGAAGACTTCCGGGACACCCTGCAGCGTCTGGAAATGTTCCCTGAAGTCACCGTTTTGGGAGCATACCAGATGAACCACGTCTGGGCTGTGACTTTCAAGTCACCCGAGGGAAAGCGGAAGGCCCTTGCCGCCGGCAACCTCGTCGTCAAGGGGCCGAAATGCCTCGTCACCGACCCGGGTAACCGAGACATCCGCCTAAAGCTTCACTGGATGCTGTACCATGTTCCTAATAACGAGGTGAAGGCGGCGTGGGCACCGAGAAGTGGTGAGTGCAAGGCATTGCGGGCTGCACGTCGATGACGCAAACGGCTGTCATTCGGCTCAAGCCTGGGCTTACACTGGACGACCTGCCGCATCAGTTGCGCATCGCCGGAGGGCTGGCGCTCGTCGTAGCGCCGGGCAGGGCGCCGCTCTGCCTGCGCTGCCAGCGGACCGGCCACATTTGCCGTGACCGCCGCGTGCCCAAGTGTGAGTCGTGCCACCGTTTCGGCCATGACGCTGATCAATGTGTGAGGACTTATGCAGCGGCCGCAGGTGCCCGAAGCGGCGAGGCAAACGGCGAGCACGTCATGGACGAGACAGACGCGGAGGAAGTCGCCGCGAGTGCCGCTACCGCTGCCAAAGACATTGAGGATAAGAATGGCACCGGCCGACTAGCGCCTGCAGTGTTGCCGAAGATGACGGAGGTCACGCCAGTTGTTGTGGCCGAGACGAGCCTCGACCAAACACCATGCAACGCTGCGCTGGGGAAGGAGGAGGAAAAGGCGAGAGCCGTCGAGCCAACGACGTCTTCCGAGGCGCAGCTAAGCGTCAACGCGGATATGGCTGACACTGGGGTTTTGGCCACGAAACGACCACGGGAACTCGATTCTGATTCAGACTCGGACGCGGTTAAGGTTGGCTATGACTCGAACCCGGAGGAGCTGCCTGTGAAGACGACATGACCACGATGTGGAGAAAGCCTCGACCCGCTTCAATTTGTGTTTCCGAACCCAGAAAACCGGACAAGCCGACCGGCTGATCCGGTTATGAGCCGGTACCTGGTGCGGTTCTCTAGACGAGGTGAGCCCCTGACATGCGAGGGCGTCTATTTATGTCGGAAAGCTGAAATTGTCGACACTTAACGTTCGAAGCTTTGCCTCGCGTCGCAAGCATTATCAGGTAAAGAGGCTCCTAATCGACAGAGGTATAGATGTCCTCGCAATTCAGGAGACCAAAGTTGGAAGTGACGAAGAGACCATATGCTTACTGGCTTCTTTCTTGCACTCTTTCGAAGTGTACGTGTCGCGGGCAAATGGTATGTCCGGGGGTTGTATGCTGTTTTTACGAAAATCTTTGAACGCACAAGGCCAATCAGTAATGGTCGACAATGTTGGTCGACTCGTCAATTGCGACTGTAGTATTTCTAATGTTGAATATCGTATCATAAATGTATACGCCCCAAACGACATTAACGAAAGGAAAGTGTTTTTTCGGAGCATTGACCAATATTTAGATTCTCAACGTAAAGTTGTTTTTTTAGGTGATTTTAACTACGTTTGTGGCACACGGGACCGATATAAAATTACAAAACAAAGCGACAGTAGTGCAATTTTTTTTTTTACCGAGATGATTACGGAATACAGGTTGCAGGATGTCGCGACGTACCAAAAAACCAACGATTGTTTATGGTACACACATTATCAGTCCTCGAGTCATGCCTGTCTTGATAGAGCTTACGTGACAATTGAACTTTTAACCGGATACGAAGACTATAATAATGTGCTGCCGGTATTATTCTCTGATCATGCACTTGTTTCTTTTATTGTTGGTGGTTTCAAAGAAAAAAACCAGTTTCGTTGGGACCGGTGGAAAATGAATAATAACCGTCTTAAGGAGACCGCGTAGGGGCGAGCGCCTGTGAAAAGTGGGAATGGTTTAAGCGCGAAGTTAAATTTAGTGCAATAGAACGATCTAGAACGCTTGCTTACTGGAAAAAGACCGAAGAAAAGTTGCTCCTTGATGACCTTCACCGACTATGCAGACTCGAAAATGAAAACCCAGGCATGCTTCCAGAACAGATTAAGACAGTAAAAAGTAAAATTGCGGACTTAGAGGTGGAAAAGTATAAAGGAGCCATCGTGCGGGCCCGAGCCGCTAAATACATTCTAGGGGAGCAGCCCACCAAACGGGCATTAAGTGCCGAAGCTAAGCATGTAAAGGAAAAAAACATAGCTGAAATAGAATACGAAGGCTTACCAAGTAGTCAACCGGAGATTATCCCCTTCAGACACGATTTTAAAATATATAGAGGAAAAATCGTTTCTGTACTTTTTTCACATCAGAAAGCCTCAATAATGAAAATGAATGGATATAAAAATATTTTTTGAAGTCAGGTGTTGTTGTAGGTCGTGTACACATTTGTGTACATTGTGTATCACTGGGTACAAAAATATCCAACAGGTAGTTGATACAAAAATCAAAGCAGTTTTTATTTCTAACTAATTTTTCAAGGCTTTCGCGTCAGATTTGCTTTGCACAAGCACCAGGAAACGGAAGAGAATGTTTACTTGTTGTGGAAAGCGAAGAAGCAATCGTTGTTCGCCGAGAGGCAGAGGTACACGTTGCATTTCCTGCACCGAATGCGCGTCCTCGATGTGCAGCCTTCGAACTTGCAGCGCTGAGCAAAGGTTTGCGCAACATGGGCTTGCCAGTGGTTGAGGCCATCGTAGCGAACCGCCCTGACAGGTCGTGGTTCTGCGTTGTGCACTTTCTTTGGTGGTTCGCCTGCCTGCTGGAGGCTTGGACGGCCACGCTTCTTAGCAACGGCCTTGTTGCACGTGATTAGCGACAGCGCAACCTCATTCTGGAAGCCCAGGAGGTCAAGGACGCTCTTTCGTGGCGTGCGGTTTTCCTGAGCATCCCTGAGATACTCAAGCCAGCTGTTTACGATACCGAATGAAACAAAGTGAGACATAACTCGCACTGTCCATTTCTTCGTCCGTTGTCTGAGCGGATACAGTGAAAGCAAGTAATCCATTTTGTCTACACCGCCCATGAAGGCGTTGTATTCCTTGATGATCGCTGGGCAAGCGATGTCTACATGCTGCTTAGTGGCTTCGCTCCACCTTCTTACCGTGGACAAGTTCTCGACGCCAACGTAAGTCGAAGCAATGTTGACGTTCCCGTTGTCTTGCCACCTCACAAGTGTGACGTCACCTTCTCTCGTGACCTTGTAATCCAAGCTTCCTCTGCCTTCACGCCTCAACTCCTTCTCGGGTTTCAGGACACAGCCCTGCAGTCTGTTGGCGCGGATGGTCCCAACCGCCCAAATCCCAACTTCCTTCAACTCTCGGAGAAGAGGCACCGACGTGAAGTAGTTATCGAAATAACACTTAAAATTACCGAACTTTGGCATGTGCTCAACTAACCTCATTTCAATAGAGCCACCCAGGCCAAGGTGCTTGTGTTCCTCAGAAGTGCCAGTGCCCTTTCCCTGATACAACTCAAAGTCGTACGCCATGCCTTCCGAGCTGCAACGGATAAACACCTTAACTCCTTCTGGGTTGGGTTTGTTTCTTACAAACTGTTTGGCAGCCACTCTGCCCGTAAAGGGCACCATTTGCTCATCGATGCTGTTTCTTTCACACGGTGGCAGTGTCAAACACCGCTCTCTGATGGCATCAAGCAGTGGCCTCACCTTCCAGAACTTGTCAGTCGGAGAGCGCGGTGACGACGACTCTGTGATGTGCAGGGCTGAGCGCAGCTTAAAAAATCGGTTTACGCTCATTGCCTCTGAGACAACAGGAATTTGGGTCGCCGTTTGCCAGTACATTCTGATGCGTGGAAACTTCAGCGTTCCCATTATCATTAGCATCCCAAGAAATGTTTTGATCTCTTCTGGAGTGGTTGCAAGAATGGCTCCGGTTGTCTCTAGTACATAGATGTTGGTACACCGCGCCATTTCCTCGAACAATGGCTCAGGAAAATACCTGGAAAAGTATTCTACAGGTTCAGCCACTTCTTCTAGTGGACGCTGGTTGCACTCAAACGAAACGTCAGGTGGCGCAAAGTCCTTCGCCATCCAAACAGTTCGAGTTTTTTGCTTGGTTCTCGTATCGCCTTCGTCTTCCTCGTCGTTTTCAGGAAGTGAGGGCGCTTGTACTGCTGCCGATGGGCCTGGCTCTCCGCCAGGGGTGTCCGCCTGATTGACAAATTAAGTTATTTTAAATCTCACCACATTGATTCAAAACAGAGTACAGAGAAAGGGCACTACTCACGGGTTGTGGTGGAGGTAGCTCGGCGTCTTCATCATCTGTCAGGCCGATATCAGACGTGTTCCCATCTGCTATTTTCATCAGTAGCCTTTGTGCCGAATCATTGTCCATCCTTGTCCGATTTCTCGCATGATTGCTGAGCTCTAGACGTAAAAAAAAAAAAGAAATATTTTATTTTCCCTAGCCAGTATCGAGCTTTCGTGCAAATTCTACTGACGAAAAAGAAAATGCGGCATTTGTGCTCATTGCGGCACGTTGTACACAAACGTGTACGCGCTAGTTGAACCTTGAAATTCAGAATCAATTTACTTGCCCCGATGTTTATTTGTTATCATAAGTTACTCTGTAGCTCTTTAGAAACGTCTTCGCATATTCTACACCTAGTGCAAAGACATGGAACAAGAGAAAAAGCTTTTTTTTTTAGGCTACTCACCGGCGCTCCCGTAAAACGTGGAGGCGTCCATCTTGCAGTCGGCGTTTCTCGGTGTGTTTTGAATAGTTTCCGTGAGATGGCGCCACTTACCCGTGGCCAAAGGTGTACACAATCGTGTACGGTGTGTCCCGAGAGGAGCAGAGTGGTATTAAGGAGCAAATAAAAGTAGAAAATTTGCGTACACAATTGTGTACGTCATGTCCGAAGGGGTTATAGAAAAAGCATTTATAGTAATCTTTTCCAGCGACAGGAGCACGGCAGCGATGCGCAATTTGGAAAATACCTAGTAGTAATGCCCCGTCTCGAAGAAGAGATAACAGAAAAATTAGAAGAACCGATAAGCGTCGCAGAGATCGAGAAGACGATTGAAGAACTGGCAACAAAGAAAGCTCCGGGTCCTGACGGATTAACTGCGGCATTTTACAAAAAATTTAAACACGATATTGCTGCGCGTCTGCACGACGTAATAACCGAGTCGAATGAGGCAGAAAAGTTACCACCTTTTTTTCTAAATACCCATACTGTCCTTATTCCTAAAGTAGATGATGCATACAAATTAAGAAATGTTAAGAACTACAGACCCATTACTTTAGGCAACGTCGACTATAAAATATGAATGAAAGTTCTCGCCCGACGACTACAAAATGTTATTTGCGACATAGTAAGGGATCACCAGACCTGTAGTATCCGAAGTGGATCTATTTTAACGAACGTGCACATTGCGAGAAGTGTATTAGAGTTGTGCGATGTACAACTTGATCAGGTTGCCATCCTCCAGATTGATCTATAGAAAGCGTTTGACCGAGTGCAACATACCGTCCTATATAAGGTTTTAGATCATGTACGAGTAGGAAAAGTCATAAGAAAATTTGTACAAATGGCATATACGGGGTGTACAACACAGATTATTATTAATGGGAAAGCAACATCGAGAATTTCTGTGGATTCGTCAGTTAAGCAGGGTTGCCCGCTATCACCTTTGATGTTTAGTATTTATTTTGAGCCCTTTTGTCGAACTGTAATAAATAATACGAATATTAATGGTTTTTCGTTACAAAATATAGAGATCAAACTCCAGTCCTATGCCGATGATGTCGCTATTTTTTGTAAAGATAAGGATAGCATCACAGCAGCAGTCCGTGAGGTGAAGGCCTACTGCGAGCTTACGGGTTCAGCTGTCAATTGGCAAAAGTGCAGCGGCTTATGGCATGGAACATGGGCCACAAAGCCCGACGTTTTTGAGAACATAAATTTTACGTCGACACCTCCAAAGTACTTAGGCGTCCCTCTACAACATTATAAGAGACCGAACATATACTGGTCATCAGTAGTGCAGAAAACGCGCGAGGCAGCTGGCAAATGGAAAGGATGGGATATGTCCATTTTTACGCGAGCTACCGTTTGTAATAATTTTCTAGTCGCTAAATTTTGGTACGTGCTTCAAGTGCTGGCGTGTGCTAGAGTGAATATTCAAAAATTACATCGTGTTTTTGCCGCTTTCATCTGGAGATCAGGATGGGAAAGAATGCGTCGCGACAATCTGTTTCGTCGCGTCAGTAAGGGAGGGCTGTCGTTATCTCACGTGTTCGTTAGGCAGACTGTATCCCGTTTTATGTTTCTTAGAGAACAAACCAACCCTTTTCTTAGGACGGTAATTCAAATGACACTTGCAGATGAAATCCCTTTCTTTGTTGTTTCTTCATGTAGACCCGAGCAGAGGAAACTCAGCAGTTTTCTTCGTGGTCAAAGCGTGTCGTTTTTTGTCTGTGCGTTTTTTCTCTTCAATACTTGTCGACGGTGACACGCAAGCGCTTAACTCGTGACCTTATTGAAAGTGTTTTTCCCGAACCGTTGTATCGTTCCATGTTTCATGCAGGCCCAGAGCGTAATGTGTTATCTAGAGTTAAAAAGATGACTTGTGTCCCTTCTATTAAAACTTTTTGTTGTTTTCAGTTACGCACCAATACACTCCCTGTCAAAACTTGGATTGAGGGAAAAAAAAAAAATTACGTACCGTGGGGCGTTGATTTTTTTTTTTTGTGCAAAAAACCTGAAACTATCGAACATGTTTTTCTCGACTGCTGGGACGCTTTCCTTTTCTGGGACGTCCTCCAGCGAACTATTAAAAAAAGACTTGCCTTTAACCTCATACGGCATTAGGTTTCTTCCTGTGGAGAAACAAGTTGAAATCCCTGTCGATCTAGTCATGCTCCTGGGCCTGCATGCCATATGGAGAAGTAGAATGGCAGTGAGGCATGCCGACGTCGATGCCCGACCCGTACGCATGTATTTCATAAAATCTATCTGCAGACTAAAATCTGTATACGCCACCTTGGTTTGTGCGCCCGATTGGGTGTCAATTCTAGACGTACTTGAGACCCTGAAAGAATTTTAAATTTTACGACCGCGCATAAGTGATCTTCATGAAGTGAATTTAACAGTGTGGTCCTTTTGTATTGTACATGTCCAAACCGGCAAAAACAACAACAAAAAAACAAAAACAAACAACTGCTGTGGTCGAGAAGTTAGAGCGCCGGTACTTGTCGCGGCGTGAAAGTTCCAGGCTCAAATCGCGCTAGGTGCTCCTTTTTGTGTGTGTGTAATTTACGCGTGTCTCACTTTTTAACTGTGATCCTTTTTACGAATCATCCACTTGCGCTACTGCGCCTTACACGGATTTTACTGTTAGTCCGTCGTGTTCAATCGAAACACCGGGAAGAAAAAACAAAGAAGGATCAAGGCAAGTTAACGCGCTAATACAATCGTTTCATACTTTTCATTAAAAGGAAACCAAGGTAAGAGCACCGGTATGGCTTTCACACAAACGGAGCCGAAACAAGCATCCTTTCCCCAGCAACTATAATTTTATGTGTTTTTAAATATACAACGCTCTTGCTACGACTTTTTTCAATAACAGAAGACGCCTATTTAGTACTAATAAAAACTGCAGTTGTGACAATTAAGAAAAGAAATCCACAAAATAAGCAAAAAGGAAAAAAGACTAGCAGCTGTGAATGCATTGATTGAACGAAATCCTACAGGCAAGGCAGCAAGTCAAACGTCTGAGAAAGTAGTAAAACCGAAATCAAAGAGATCATACTTTTACTTGCATGGAATGTGATAAAAGGTATATTTTTACATTTTACATTTTGCTTTGGCAATCGTTTTGTAATATTAACACATTACTTGTTTAATTTTAGTTAGAAGAGCAGACAATCACAACCGAATGCAAAAATTAAACAGGCGTCGACATCGCAAACCATCTGTCTAACCCAAACACCTTAAGTGACTTTGGATTAAAAAAATGGAATTAATTAGAGCAGTTGGAAAACGAAAACAACAAATTCTAGAGAAATTCAGCAGCACAGTTACCTGGCGAACGAAGAGACGGGCATGGGAAGATATTGTTAACTTTCCGCGGAGTGTACGGCAGATGCAGGAGGTGTGGCGGAAGTTGGTAAAGAAAGCCAGAGACATGTATGCGCTCTTCCGAGTTCATGAACAACGAACTGGTGAGTCAGAACTACCTGCCCAATGATTCTATAGAACTCATAGGGCCTTGCCTACAGTCTCAGTGGGAGTGCAGTCAAATATAAGAAGAAGAAAAAAAAGAAAAAAAAAAGAGTTTTTGACGCGATTTGAACCCGGGACTTTCGCGCTGCGACCGGCGTGAAATTCGTACCGACGCTCTCACCTCTCGACCACAACAGAAGACGCGCTCCGTCGGCGCTGGCCGAGGTAGATAAATATACTGCCACCGGCTTTTATCTCGCGTGGTTTTTTCCTTTATTTTGGGTCATATTTGCCCTTCCTGGCCGTAACTTTACCTGCCGCTTCTACAGTATAAAGGAATTGGGCTCCAGTTGAAAGTCCCTGCAGTTAGTTTCTGCGAGCGAAATTAGGCTTTTGTGCTTGAAGCGATGCGGATTTCTCCGCCATTAGGCAGGGACGCTAGGTACTTCCTTGTCCCCATGGAGCTAGTCGCGTGTTCAAAAAAAGCCCTCTTGGCCGCGGCCGCGGCCGCGTCCGCAAGATGAGCAAACCGGCCCAGGTCATGGTCGAAAGTAGTCATATATGCAAATCAAATCTAAAGATGTGACTAGCACAACTGTGAGTTTACAAAAAGCATAGAGTATGAGGCCTCTTCTTACGCGTCTTACGTTGGCCCTCGACCTTCCCGGTATGGGCTATCTGCCACTCCTCATTCAATGGAGTTTGAGACCACTGCTCTAGAAGGTTCATGCTCAAAAATATTACTAACATAGACAAGTTTCTCAAGGTGCCTTTTCTACTGGATGGATACGGCTGAACCCTTTCAATTCGGGCAGTGGCTTGCGCCATACTAGCCAGAGCTTCTAAGTACAGCAATTAACTAATCTCCGCTTTTATTCTGATTTAATAGAGAAGGGCAAATCATTTAATATCGCCGCTAAGCAGAAAAGAATAGCAAACTATTCTGTGGGCCAGTTTCAATATTGTGCAAAGAAAGCCGAGTCCTTCTGTGGTGAGTTTTCGTTCTGTTTTCGAGGGGTTGGTAGTCGGAGGAAAGAGGAAAGGGGGGGGGGGGGGGCGGTCCTTTTTGCTCGGTTCACATGGTCTTGACGGGGATTATCTTGTCGGTTTAGCTAAGCTACAGTGGCTTAAAGGGGGTAGTGTAACGAACGAAACCGGAGAAGCGGCACAGCGTTGGAAGACGGCCGCGGGTGGCGCTGGCGCTTGCAGCACCGTCGGTCCGGCTATGGCTCCGCTTTTGCCGCTGGGCCAGCTTGGTCCCGGTAAGTCCCGGCCAGCTGCGGCCAGAAGGGTAAAAGTGGGTGAGGAGGAGTGGCACATCCCGCGCGCCGACATCCTGGGTCCCGAGTGAAGGATCGCGAAAGAGAGCAACAGAACACCAGAGAAAGAAACCAATGTTGCCAGCTGAAGGACGACAGTCGCAATGGTAATCGCGAATACTGAAAACTCTCAGCAATATACACAGTGATAATTTAACGTTGTAAACTAAATTCTGAGCTATTGTAACGCTTATAAAATGCAGCATGCTCATTACGCTGCCGAAATCTCGGAAATCTGGTGGTTGCGCGGTTTCGTATTCCCGGGGCGCGGCCACCCGCGAAGCCGGTTGTCTGGTTTAGTTTAGTTAAGTGGCCTCCAGAACACTGTAGTTTAGTGTTGACGGGAGGCCGTACATCCG